TCTTGTTGTCATCGATCCACTTGGATCTCTTGGTCAGTTTTGGTAGATATTCACGGACCTATCTCTTCCAGAAGGCATCTGTTAACATCTGAGATTTGCGCCATTCTTCGCGTGAATATCTACTTACTTCTGAAGTACAGGGTGGTCCATTCTGGTTTCCAAATCCAATCAAAAAATGATTTGGTGTTAATGCTTCTGGATCATGCGGGTCTACAGAAACATGCGTTAAAGGCCGAGAGTTCACGATATTTTCTGCTTCGGCAAATAGAGTTTCCAAAGTTTCATCCTTCAGAGATTGGTTGTACAAGGTGACTCCGATGGTTCTTTTTACCGATCCAATGAGCCTCTCCCAAGCACCACCCATATGTGGCGAAGCAGCTGGTATAAATTTGAAGTTGATACCCTCCGAGACCATAGTATCAGTTATGATGGAACGATCCAACTCCAACAGGGCCCTTTTCAGTTCCTCAGCAGCACCTTTGAAGTTGGTACCATTGTCGCAATATATGGTTGCTGGTTTTCCTCTTCTCGCCATCATCCGTCTTATCGCCATGATGGCAGAATCAGTTGTTAGATTATGAGCAACTTCTAGGTGGATTGCTCTCACTGCCATGCATGTGAATAAGACTCCCCATCTTTTTTCTGTCCGTCTTCCGACCGTGACCTTTAATGGACCGAAATAATCCAGTCCTACGTTCACAAACGCTCGAATATCTGGGGTCAAACGTACGGCAGGCAGTTGCCCCATCCTAGGTACAGTCGGGGTCACTTTCGAATTTCTACATTTCAGGCAGCAAGTGAACGTCGACTTGACGGCGACTCTTCCATCAATCACCCAAAATTTCTGTCGTATCTCGTTGAGAATTGTTTCTACTCCCTGGTGTCGAAATTTCACGTGATAGTGCTGAAGGAGAAGTTTCGTGTATTCATTTCGTGGGCTCAGTATATAAGGTTTCTTAGTCCCCACACTCATACAGTTCGCCAAATCCGTTCTTCCTTGCAGAAGTTTCAGGACCGTTTCTTATTTGCCTAGGAACCGTCAAGCTAGCATTATCTTGTCCAAGGAGTAGCATTGGTCTTTCATTTTCTATGGTGTCTATAGGAAGTCCTCTCAGGTAGGCATATTTCCACCAAACTTGCATGTTGATGGTTTGTTCAGGTAAATATAGAGAATCGACAGTCCTTACATTCTTTACTGAGAATTTTGCTGAATTCTGAAGTCCAGATATCTCCAGGTCTATTTTCTCCGACTTATCCAGACTTGCAGTTTGTCCATTTGTCCACTGGATACATAGTGTATCATGCTCACCATGTAAGCCAAGTTTCTTTGCAATACTTTCATCAATCAACGTGACTGTTGAGGCTTCATCGCACAATGCTAATATCCTCACTGCTCCGTTCGGTCCGTGCACTAGTACTGGAAGCATTCTGAGTAGAATTTTCTTGGTTTCATGTTTGACAGCACAAACTACATCGTTTTCTGTTCGCAAGAGACAAGCTTGACCATCGTCGACAAGATTTTGTGAATGTCGAGTTTTATGTAATAGAGGGTGATGATAAAATGTACAGCCCTCAGTTCCACATTGTTGTTTATTTTCGCATTTGAACCTATGATGACCTCTTTGAAGACATGAAAAGCACAACTCCTTGTCAGTTATGGTCTTCCATCTTGTTTCAACATCATTAGAGGTCATTTGAGGACATGCTTTTTCCATATGTCGCTTCTCAATATGAACAAGTAGATTTTCTTTCGGTAGTGGATTTTCTCTCAACCTCCTTGGTATTCAGGACAGTTTCATTCCTTCTCGGAAAATGTGACCTCTTGGAGATGAATTTGTTTTCTGGGAAACTGCTGGGTACTTGAGGACTGCTTACGTAACATGCCGCCTCAGCCATATCATTTATCCATGAAGCAAAATCTTCTAAGGACACATTTCCCCTATTCTTCATCATGAATTCACCCCACCTAAGTTTCATCATATCAGGTAACTTAGCTAGTAGGTCTTTTTGAAGTTGTGGATTTCTCAAATAGTCCAAAGAAACCAGACTCTTAATAGTAGCAACCAGATTACACACTTCATTGGAAAAGTGAATCAATTTTTCTATGTTGGTGTCTCTGATCGGTGGAATACCTTTAATCTTGGTTATCATGACCTCGATGACGTACTCCGGTCTTCCAAATCTCCTCTGCAATGTCTCCATAATCAAATTCACATTACTGGCAGACAACAATAAACCTGCAACTGCCGATTTGGCCTCTCCTCGTAAGCATTTCTGCAATTTGACCAATATTTCATCAGAACTATAGTCGCACATCTGACTGGTTTGTCGAAACCGCTGATAGAACAAAGGCCAGTTCTCAGGGTTCCCATCGAAAACAGGAAAGTCTTTGTCAACAATATGTCGAGCTAACAGTGTATCTTGTCTCGCAGGGGCAACATTCTTTATAACATTTGTGATTGTTTGACAAAGCATATGGACTTCATCACGAGAATTTCCCTTGGTATCAGAAAACACTTCATAATTAGAAGGTTCTACGTGATTCACCCATTCTGCAACAGAAGGCTTTATTCCGTGGTCATTTTCATTCTGCGAACATCCATTTCCAGATATTTGGCTATCACATTCTGATATTTCTTCGGCTTCTATTTCGGCTTCTTTCAGGTCATGCTCCATTTGTAATATCTTCATCCTATTTTCAACCTCTCTCTGCTTCTTATCAAGATCTCCTTCCATTTCTTTCAATGCTTGCTTTTCCTTTTCAGTCTGAATAGCAAGTCTCTTTCTTTGAAGATCCATCGAAGTTGAGGATTTCTTTGAAGAATCAATGGAACTTGAAATCTTCTTTTTTGAAAAATGTTGAGAGGATTTCGTTGACATTGAACTTCTTTCAATAATTGTCTTGTCACAATTTGTCAAATTTTCTGATCGAACTGATTAGGATTCAGGTATTGCAAATCTACTGGTGGATTCTGAAGTCGTGCTGGTGTTTGTCATGGTTGGTATGGTACAAACATTTCTTGCACCAAATCCAGCCGGCCATTCAAAGTCACGTGACAAATTCCTATTCATACCAGCATTTCTCCTTTTTGATATATCTCCCAGTTCACCTTCTTTCCCATCCATGTTTGTTTCAGCTCGGGCTTGAAGGACCAAATGTTAAATCGTGTTTTTCGTCAATTAATCTCGTTTTCAAAATATCAGCTTTTATTCAAAGACTCTGACAAACCCTCTCATGTTTATCTCTGACACTTATGTAACTAACTGATAAATTCTTTTTTGTTTCAATATATACACAGGGTCAATATATACAGGGTCATTATAGATAATAATTGTTATCAAGACATCACACAAGTGGTTCACATTTTGAATATTTGTTGAAGTAACGTTTTAATAAATCAATTTAACAGCTTGTTTACATTTTTTACGAAGCACTGTTACAAGTAACAAACATTGAAACGTAAGTACTACTATGTAAATGTTTTGATTCTTGATGACCGAAATTTATTTGTATATTTCATTGATACCAAAATTATTGGGTTAATGTTCTTAAAGCCGTTCTCGTATTAACTGTTTGAGTACATTTAAACAAATAGGGTATCATTAGAAAGATAATTTTGTGTCCGTTCAAATGATATATCACTCGACCCCATTTAAAATTTTAGGGTTGTGACACCTTCTCGCTGGGGCGTTAAAGGCAGAGGTTGAAAAATATGTCTAAAATGTGTCCTCCTCAAAAGCAAACTCCACTTGCCCGAACATTTTTGCTTTCAATTCTAAACAACGCAGAAAAGCTAGGTGCATACTTTTCATTGGACCACTTCTGTATAATAATAGCATCACAAAAACATCTTGTTTCTCAAAATTTGAATGAATAAGTATACACTGATTCTCTGAAATCAGTGAAATCTCCTATACAAATATATGTATGTTATACAGGGTGTTAGTGAATAAGTGCGGCAATCTTCAGATATTTGTGATATTTTAGGAAAAAAAGTTAACATAAGCATGGCTAACTAGCTTCGTTTCAGAGATACAGGACCCTAAATTTGGTTTTCATTAATAACCACCCTGTATAAGCATCCACGATGCCAAAATCAAGTATAGTTGAACACTGACTAAGCCTCAGGATTTCAAAAGAATTCTTATTAAGGTTATTGAGTAGGTACCTAATCCCCATGGGTGTCTAAAGAGCACATATACTTTGAAATTTGAAGTTAAACCAAATTTTCATTATTTCCTCAAAAACTAAGCGAGATACAAAGGATGAAAGAGTGTTTACTCAAATTATTCAATCCAATAAGAAATGCTAACTCAGAAAGAAACAGTGCTCTTCAATGATATTGGATGGATTAACCCACTGTGACGCCACTGCATGGAAATACTGTTCAAGATCTAGTAACACCAAAAGGAGCTTCATGATATTTGCATTGAAACCAGTTCTGAAGTTCTATTGAAATTGATAAAGAACATGGGAGTAATGAATGAAAAAATGATTTTTCATGGAAATATAAATAGGTACCCTAAATGTCGAAATGGCAGTAAGACACATGTTTATATCGATTGTATTCCCTATAATATCACCCCCTAAAGTTGATGGCACTCATTCACTATCACCCTGTACATATATCAGCAGGAAAATTATGAAAAGGTGTTCTATGAGCATTTGAACATATTCATAATAATATGTATAATATTCATCTAATGATTTTCAGCATGTATGATAGATAATTCCTAATAAAAATGCCTTGTATAAAATTTCAAAAATACATGTTCCAGAAGTTCCGCAACATGCGGATGATATTCAATTGTCGATAAAAAAAGCCGGATATTGCTTATTGTTTGCATTTTCAATTGATCAAAGTTGGCCGTGTATTATTGCAATGAGAGAATCGAAAACATAGGAGTGTAAATTGCATTCCAAATAGAATATTCAGTGAATGTTCATATAATATGTGGTGTTGCATTGGCTGCTTGCTTGTCAATCACGAAAATTCCACAGAAAGTGTCACTTCAACTTCAATAAGAACAAAACAATACTTAGTTGAGCTAGTTGGAAAATAAAGCTATGATCCTTTTTCGAACTGGAAAACGATTTCATCATCCATTCAGAATATTGTTGACAGTGGAAGTTGAGAGTTCAGTCAACTCAATAAGTATGGATGACGAAGTATATTATACACACATTATTTACATATTCAAACATTCTGATTGAAACTGCTGATATTCACAATTTTTCGATACCACTGTCTCTTTCTATTTCTTCCGCAGTAACTAGAGCTTTGTTCTCAATTTTGTTGAATATTAGATATGTTTTGTTTTTATGTATCAAACTGGCTGATATTGGTGCAACTAGTAATTTCCTGGGACCTATCCAGTTATGATGTGGAGAAAAACTTGTATGTGTCAAGTATAGCAGTGTATAGGACAAGAGCCTTCTTGGCATTACCAAGAAGTGTTTGCCACAATAATGAAACTGGTCCTACATTGGTTGAAACTCTTTGGACTGGAGACATCTTCCATTCGTCTTCAAATTTATTATCGGGAAGGAGGTGAGATGATCCATTGATTTTTTATAATAATTTCTAGTTTTTGAGGAATCGGTTCCTCTCCATTTTCGTATTATATTGAATCATCTTTTACATAGGTTGTTTCCATAATTGAAAAGTTGAATGGATAGGGAGAAATTGTTTTAAGCAATCAAACATTTTCACAAAATGTACGGTTTGCTTACCATACTAGTTTTCAAGTATATTGATATTCAGTGATCACTCCATAGGCGGAGGCATGAAAACATCATGAGAATGTATACAGGCTGAATCTGAATGTGAGGTTTTTCATTTAACAGGGTATATATCTTGCCAAAATAAGTTGTTTGGCCTAATGCTTTATTTCCCTCCTGGAGTTTTTTGGTTCACTTCGAAACGATAATGAATAGTGTTGAAAAGGAATATTCTCAGATAAATTATGAACATACAAAAATGGATATATATTTAAATGAAGCAATAAATTGAGAATTCGCATTCTCTATGTAATGAGAATAGGTTGAAAATGTAAGAAGAGGTTTTTGATAAGTGTTTCTGATAAAATAATACAACTGTAGGGTATCTAATGCTGGACTGATAACGGCTTTTCTGCTTTTTTTTGAGAATATGTAAACCAAATGTTCAATAGTTGGAGTCTTCTTTAAACCATCAAATACCTTCACCTCCTCAATCTTAAATATTTTATGTGAGCAATTTTCCGCCAAACAACTTATTTTGGTGAGATATACAGGGTGTTTGGTGCATCGTGTGCCAAATTGAAATGGTCGAATGAAGGGGTCATCTGGCATCCTTAAAGACTATAGTTAACACCTTTCATGCCCTGTGGATTATTTTTAGTCGTCTTTTTATCTGTTTATCGAAAAAATACCTAAATTCCACATTCAGATACAAATTTTTAAAAAAGTATAAGGAGTAGACTCTGAATTACAATTTTATTTATATGTGTATAGTGTTAGAGTACTTTTCAATACAAAACTAGTGACATAAGTCATCTAGTTATTTTCTTGATTTACTCGTGAAATTTCGAAATATGTGAAACTCAAATTAAAGCTGTGACTTTACGTGGCTACAAAAAAAACCAATAGCGACAAGGATCTTTCAACTCCCTGAAAATTTCCCTAGTCTTGCTATCGATATGTCACATGCCATAAATATCTTTTAACAACTCTGTAAATTAGCTAGAAATGTCAATCAAGTCTCATAAGGCTGTTATTAAAAATGATCTGAAAAAATATTTTTGCGTAACTGTCACTTCAGAAACATGTAAAATTCATATTTCTTGCACAACGTAAATCTGTTTGAACAAATCTCGAACAGCCACCGACCCCATAATTTGTTAGTCGAGACATCACTGCCTCTGCTACCTTACGTGTCCATTTCATCGTACTCCGCGATTCTTCCAGTTTGTTACTCTTGGGATTGGGCGCGATGGCCCTATTGTATGGCCGCCACGTTCCCCAGACCTAACTCCGATAGACTTTCATGTCTGGGGACGTGCCAAAGAGCTGGTAAACGCCACGGAAGTTCCAACTAGGAAGGTACTAGTCCAACGCATAGAAACGGCCTTCGATACCATTAAGGAGGAAATACGACTTCGAACAACAACTGTCGAAATACGACACAGATGTTGAGCCTGCATTCGCAACAGAGGCCAACAATTTGAGCAGGATTTATGAGATTCATGAAATGAATGCCAAATAAAAAATGTTTAAAATGCAATTTCAGATATTGTTTATTTTAGAGATGACTTATGTCGCTAGTTTTATCACAGGAATTAAGGAATGCTTGAAGTCATCTCCACAAATTTCAATGGTATTATTACTAAAACATGAGGGACATGTTTCGGTCTTATAAAAGACCATCTTCAGCCTAATTGAAAAGTCTACCATACAAAAACAACAGATATTGAAGTAAAAGAATTACCTATTTTATGTTAGACTTACTTGGAGTTGAAAAAAAAAAGTATTATGATGCTTCTATTCCTTGAACTGGCAATGCCCATAGTCAAGAGTACCAAGGGTGTGAAAAAACGGGTTCTCAATAAATGAAGGGCCCCGTGCCCTGAGAGCGTACACTATTTCTTTTTAAAGGACATTTCATATACCAAAATGGTATATGAAGGGTATAGTCAAATAGTTTGTTTTTGACAACACCAAAAACTAACGGGTTTTTTAAAAAAGGGGTTCCCCGTGCCCTTATGAATGGGAAATATCAATAAAATTGATGGGGCAAACAGCCAGCACGTGTTCAAATCTAAACTAGTCTGGTTAGAAAACACTGCAAATTATGTCAATTAAAGACATGGACAGGACAGAGTGGTAGACAGATTCAAACCAGAGTAAATGAGCATATTAAATACATAGAAAAAGCCACTTTTCCTCCCCCTCTGGGTGTAATTAAAACTGGTAGTTCCTTTTCTGACCACGTTCTCAACTCCAAACACAGTTTTAACGTCGACAATAGTTTAGAAATCCTACACATATGCCAAAAAGGCCGTTTATTAAATCTTTTGGAAACTTATGAGATAAATTTGTCATTAAATAATAATAATGTAACTTCTTTGAATGAACAAACTCAATATGGCAACAAATTTTTCAATTCATTGAATTTTGCTAAATAATTGTCATTTGCTATGTACCTTTTTCTAGATTTTTGGATTGTAAGATTTCTGATTGTACCAATCTTGTTTTCAGATTTATTGCCAATCTGACGTAGTGCTGTGCTATGGTGTTGCCCCCCATCACCTATTCTGTCTATATATGTAACTATAGTTGTTCCATGATCTGGTTGACTTGACAGTTGACAGCAAACAATTTTACTGTTCAGTGCTTCCGCACATGTGATTCTTTTCTTGGTTATTTCCGAAGCCACATCTTTCTTATTACAAAAGATTGATATTTTCAAGTTTTATTACCACTTATCGGTGATTTAAGGGTACCGTGGGCCCTTATTAAATATGTTCCCGACCCCCAACCTTCAACTTTATTAAAAAAAATTTAAAAAACATTTTTATCATATAAACAGTAAGTAAGAGCAATGGCTTTTGCTTGCTCCGTTATTGCTTATTGTATACATATTGCAACTTTTTTCACTTCCATGTAAGTAAAATATTATTGTATCATACCATAGGTCAAATTTGTCCTTTTTTAGAACTTTACATTTTCTTGGCTGAAGATGGGCTTTTATAAGCCCGAAACATGTTCCCTTATATGATCTATGATCATTAAATAAAAGTTGTGGAGATGACTTTGGGTTTTCATCTATATGAACATGGACAAGACGTTGACATAGTCAATGTCAAGGGATAAAACATGAAAATCTGACCATGAGCATAGGCATATAACAATATCTATTACAACTATTGGATAATGTGGATTTAGGAGGAGGGGTGCATGTGGGCGAGAGTTTTATATTTGAAAGTACTCTAACACAATACACATCTAAATAAAATTGAAATTCAGAATCTACGCCTTATACTTTTTTTTAAATTTTCATTTGTATGTGGAATTTTGGTCTTTTTCTGATGAACAAATAAAAAGACGAATAAAAATAATCCACAGGGCATGAAAGGTGATAACTAGTCTTAAAGGATAGCAGATGACCCCTTCATTCGATCATTTCAATTTGGCACACGATGCACCAAACATCCTGTATATGCTGTTGAAAAAACTCACTTCCAGATTCACCTTGTGTAAATTGAGCATGAATACCCGAGTAATTCCTATGAGTAGGAACGAACATGTGACATCTGATTATGTTGATTATTTATTAATCGCTAATAAATCATAACATTCATTAACTCACTCACAGACGATTAGCACTTTCATTCACGTGGGTATTAGTTCATTATCGGTTCATTATATAAATCGCGAATTATTCATTAATTCATTAATTTTCAATTTCAAATGGAAAAAATTAATATGTTACATGAAATAGTCATTACACCAGGTAGGTGTCAACGAAACTTATGAACATTACTTCTAAAATATTAGATGTATTCAAATCTTAATCGGTATAGCCGCATGGTATGTGAAAAGAAGAATTTCACCGAAATCAGCTTTATATATTGTAAAATTTTTGAATTTCTGAGAACTTCCTGGCTCAGAATATCACATTTTCTAAAGTTCTCGTTCCTACTCGACTCTTATTGTGTCACTTTCAATATTGCATAAAATCAAGAAACGTCTACAGTTCCTTTGTGTGAAGCTTATATGTCACTGTCATGACCTAAATCAGTAATAATTTGTTTCCGAAGCAGAATTGATGAAAATAATTGCAAAATATCATTAATCATTGCTATCCATGGTACATAATTATAATATGACAAATAGTAGATTGTTTTATTAGGATCAAAAGTGACACCTTGTTTGACAAGCAAATTTTGTATTTGCGAGGTACAATCTTTCCATCGTGCATCATTTCGAAACTGAACAAGTGATCACCAATTAATCAGACAAAAATTATTTTCGTAGGCTCAAAAGAGTGGTGATAGAGTAGTGTAAATAAAAGATATCACCCTGTACATATGTAGTTTGTTGATCGCAAAAATCCACAGATTCCGAATAATATATAAAAAACAGGAGAAAAATGGAGAAAAATCAATTTGTGGTTTGTCACGCTTTTAGGGATCACCCTGTAAAACTTCTGATAAGCACCATCTTAAAATTTTTCATCTGTCAATCCTGCTGGCCCGTTCCCGTTGGAAAAATAAGAGGGCAGCTCATTGAAGATGAGCACTGTATAACGATTGTTGGACCAAAAATAGTCAAATTTTTTGATTAGTTGATGCTGTTATTGAAAGTCGATGGCATCTATAAGATCAGTGACATTTCACATGAAAATGTGTTGAAAGAGTTATCGAAATGATGAGCAAAGAATTCTGGAATTGAATTAAATTGATACTTTGTCAGTGCAGGAAGCTCCTGAAACATTCTGTCCGAGATCTCAAAAATATCAAATTTGTTCACTAAGTCTTCCTTCAGAAAATTTCATTCATAGAAACTTTTTTCAAGAGTAGCTACAAACTCACTCCAAATCTGGCTGAACTCGCCGTCGACCTATGAATGAGGGGCCATACATTTGGAGCTTCAGCTCATTTTCAACAATAACTTCATCAAAGCATGCTTCAGAATCGCGGGAATTGCCTTATTGGATATTTGTGCATCATTTTGAGAATATTAATATCAACTATAATCTTCTTGCCACCACAACTATGTTTTTTGAAAACAAAAAGACTTACCACAGAAATCCTGGAATAATCGTTCAGCCTCGAAGCCTAGAAAATTTAACCATTTCAGTTTCGCTGTCAATTTCATTTAATAGTGATGAACGATACGGCTGACTGCACTTTTTACTGATGTCATCATTTTTATTGTGAGTGCTTGAGATTCTGTTTTCTAATTGGTGACTGCAACCCTCATATTGGAGTGCGCTGCTTTATGCCCACATTTCGTTAGCCTCACATTTCGGTACACCCACATAGTCTCTCCGAACATACCCGAAGAGGGCACTGCTGCCAAATTCTATATACCCCAGTATTCAATGAAACTGTCATTGTGAGCTTATCGACACATTGCGTTACACCTATACATTTCGTTTTCGTTACACCCACATTGTTTTATGCCCACATTTCGTTATGCCTTCATTGCGTTACACCTACATTTCGATCGGCCCACATTTCGTTAGCCTTACATTTCTTTATCCCCACTGCCTCGGAACATACCCGAAGAATACACGTTTGCCAGATGTGGGTGTAAAACAATGTCTAATACACACGTCTAGCTATAGCAATTCCATCTATGGCTTCCTGAATTCCGAATACGTAATATGAGGAAGGGAAATATCCTTTCTGCATAAGAAAGGAGACTACTTTTTCTGAACATCCAAACCTTGCTCGGCCTGAATGAACCTCCTTTCTAGGAAACATATTCTTCTGAATATTACTTGAGAGAGCAAACGAGACTATACTTTTTCAAAACAATCTAACCTAACTAGGACTAAATAAAACTTCCTAAGAGGTATATTTTTCGAAAAATTGCTTGAGGGAACAAGGGATACTACTTTTTCTAAGCAATCTGACTTAACTCAGCCTAAATCAACCTTTTTCCTAAAAAGTATATTTGTCGGAAAATTACGCATCAAGCACAGTATATGGCAACAGTGCAACCTTCGGGTATCTTCGGACACTGGGAAATATGGAAATGTAGGGCTAACGAAATGTGGGCCTATCTAAATGTCTAATCTAAATGATGGTGTAACGCAATGTAGGCATAACGAAATGTGGACATAAAGCAATATGGGTGTAACGAAATGTAGGTGTAACTCAATGTATCGATAGGCCTACAATGACAGTTTCATTGAATTCTGGTATGTTAGATAGTATTTGGCTACAGTGCCTCCTCCGGGTATGTTCAGAGACTGTGGGTGTATCGAAATGTGTAACTTACGAAATGTGGGCATATCGAAATGTGGGAACAACGCGATGTGGGAGTAACGAAATGTGGATGTAATGACACGCTCTTTCATATTGTGCTCTTGGCCTCCTGAGGACATATTTTGCGAGTAGTCAACTACTATGTCCAATATGAATACACTTGGTGTCCAATCCCGATGTTATCCGTCCAATCCAATCTTAGGCCAATATTCCTATTCTCGTGCAATCTCGTATTTATAATATTCAATAATATCCGATAATATCGGTCCAATCCCACGTCCAATCTGTCCAATCCGTGGACGTTTTTGAGAGAGTTTATTACCCCTCGATATTCTGCAAACCAGACCAAGATTGTTGCATTGAAAATGTTATCATAATCGTTTACTCATCATTTCTGGACATCATGTATGGATTCTCCATTCTCTTAATCCAATTCTTGTTACAGACAAAAGGTACAAGTCCATCAAAATTGGAATGACTGTGAGCATATCCAGGATGCAATTTCTTTAGATATTGAGATAAAGCGACATAGATTATGGATTTTGGATAGAGGAAATACGCTTTGCCATCCAAAAATAATATCATTCAATTTGTTGTATAATATCATTTCGGATGTTAGTGAGCTAGCAAATATATCAGGCGAACATTTGAATGTAATCACTATCGATCCAGAAATTGGAAAACATGGGTATAGAGCTTACATCGCAAGGACAGGTAGGTACTTTAGGTATCCAAATATGAATAAATGAGTACGTCATGAAATACGGCCTATAAATAAAACGTCATTATACAGGGTGTTTGAAAGTTGTGGTGACAACAAATTATGGAAAAAAGTGCATTTGAACATTGGTCCGAAAATCTTTCGTTTCCGAGATACAGATTATCCAATTTTTAAAAAAATTAGTTTGATATTATCATCTTGAGACCGCTCAAGCTGATTTGAATAAAATTTGCATAGTTCACTAACACAATGATCAGACATAAACTGGACCAAATAGATTTCAACCAAAATTTCCAGAAGCGCACTCATCGAGCAAGTCGGCTTTTTTTTGTAATGATAAGTCACCCTGTGTTCTTTTGGGTTTTTCCCAAATATTCAGATAATCCCACTAAAAATACAACATTTCTGTCTATTGCTATTTTTTCGTATATTGCTTTGATTTCGAGAAAAACGAACAATATCACACCCCGGCATATCTCTGAACTCCATAAAGAAAAATAAAAATGCTTACATATTATTCAAAGCATTATTGTACATTATTATGCATGGAAACAAAAAAGAAAAAAAAAATTCAATAACCTCTTTGGAATGTATACGTGTTGGATTCCAATAGAAATATCAAAAAAGTGAATTAAAGAAGTGACGTCACTGCTCAGAGTGTTTATGAATATGAATTCGTCTAATCTGCCCGATGCTCACTCTCCAAATATCTATCAATGAAGCAAGTACTTCGAGCCGTCTGACGTTATTTTCATTAAGTATCTACCAAAATGTCCCAATAACTATAATAATACGATCATCAAATTTTGTGAGAAATAGTTTTTCAAGATCGAAATACTCATATTTTCGAACTTGAACACCCGATATCTCAGAAACGAAGCATTTTCGGACCCATGTTCTGAAAGAGTCTTGTGCGAGCAAGGATTGACGGGGGCATTACCATTCAACGTGTGATCCCAAACACATTCTTGGGCCATCAGAAAAATTTCTGCAGTCGCTGGGAATCGAACCAACGACTGGCAAGCGAATGCGGATCAGAATATTGACACTCTGTCCGCACGGCTACCTGGCCCCTGTTCATTTCTTTTTATTTTCAGATAGAGATATCTCCTAGGATTTTGTCACCACAACTCTGAAACATCCATTATAATATTTAGTAGATATTATAAGAGAGGTGCAAATATGGATAAAACCCTATACGCTTGCATGTATTACGCTTCAAATAATTGTTTTAGGCAACAATGAGATACTGGTGTTATCACTGAACAAATTGATATGGTGGAAACTCAAATTATCTGAACCGAGCAATCCTCTGAAGACTATAAAAGCAGACTTCTTAGCCATTTCGAAAACCTCGCCACAGCTATTCCTTACTAGTAAGGACGACGATGAATTGTTCGCATTGGATATAAAAAATATAAGAAATTCTGAGAATCAAGTGGCTTTGGAAACAACGGTGAGCTTCAGATGTGGAGAAGAGCACTCTGTATTTTTTATGTTTGCTAGAGGTTGTGAGTAGACTGATTGTCGGAATTATTGGTATGCCATTGGTTTGTCAGGTAATGGTCGAGTAGATTGGTTGATATCAAAATCTGTATTTTATATACTATATAAAAACGGGCGAGAGAAAACTTTTGCTAAATTGATCGCCCTGTAACTTTTTCAATTCCATTCCGATTCTGGGGAAAATTCGACCAAATCGTTCATTCACGCTTCGAAATGTTAGAATGGATTTTATTTTGCAAGAAAAGCTGATGTTCCATGTGGCAGTCGGATTACAATAACCATAAGTCCTGCTCCTGTCTCGGGTCAACCCAGCTTATCAACGGACAACTCATCAACGCGCCCACTTCATCAAGATCCCACTCAGCAACGACCCAAATCATCAATGACCCATCTCATCAACATTCCCATCCGTCAACACCTAACTCGTCAACGAACAAACTCATCTACAACCCAAGACATCAACGTATTCATTTCATCAATACCCAACTCATCAACGACCTAACTCATCAACCACCTAACACATCGAGGCAGTCATCACATCAACAACCAATTCATCGACGACCCAAACCATCACCGACGGAGATCATCAACGCACCCATATCATCAACAGCCAACTAACAAACGACCCAGATCATAAACGGCCGAACTCATCAACGACCCGGCTCATCAACGAACCAACTTCATCAACAGCCAATTCATCAACGACACAACACATCAACGCACCCCTTCCATCAATATCCAACTCATCAACGACTCAACCCATCAACGACTCAACTCACCAACGACCCAACTCACCAACGACACAACTCATCAACGACCCATCTCACAAAGACCCATCTCATCAACGACCCAACTTATCAACGTCTTATCTCATCAGCGAACCAACACATCAACGACCCATCTCATCAACGTCAAAACTCTTCAAAGACTCAACTTTTCATTCGACCCAACCCACCAACGACCCAACTCACCAAGGACCCAACTCATCAACGTCTCATCTCATCATCGACCCAACTCGTCGAAGACTCATCTCATCAATGACCCAACCCCTCAACAACTCAACTTATTAACGACCCAACCCACCAACGAACCAACTCTCCAACGACCCAACTCGTCAACGACACATCTTATCAATGATCCAACTCATCAACAACAGAACCCATCAACGACACAACTCATCTACGACCCATCTCATCAACGACCCAACTTATCAACGACCCATCCCATCAACGACCAAAATATATTATGGCCTAAGGTAACAGAATAGATTCAGAGATTATATATCAGACATCCCTATGAAAGCACAACCATAATATATACTACAGTATTACGGTAATACAGACATTGATCTTGAGACTTTCGAAGAAATATATCATCTGTAGGTTATATATCTTACATTTCACTACCTGCTACCATACTTATGTATGTTATCCAAATGAGTCGATGGGACATAGAATAATAATCTTGTTTTGAAACATTGCCCCCAACGGTCGATCACCTTGCCAATAGTCGATTAGTCGTAGCCAAATTCTTGGATATTATCAATCAACAACTTATTATCTATCGAAGCATTATCAAAAGTATTCACATGGTAATCCAATAAAGAAATTATATACAATTCTGGAATCACAGAAACGTGTTTCTACGCTCTACATGCATTCCACACGCATCTATGGCCCCGAGTATGGGTAGAAGATTATCAGTGCAGTAGTAATAAAGATCATAGTTGAGCTGTTGATGATTTGTGTCGTTGATGATGAGTTGGATCGTTGATGAGTTGGCTCGTTGATGAGTTGAGTCGTTGATGAGTTGAGTCGTTGATGAGTTGGATCGTTGATGAGTTGTGTCGTTGGTGAGTCGAGTCGTTGATGTGTTGAGTCGTTGATGAGTTCGATTGATGATGAGTTGAGTATTGATGAATTTGGTGTGTTGATGAGTTGAATATTTGATCAATTGAGACTTTGGTGAGTTCGGTGTTGATGACTTGAGTGCGTTAATGAATTAGGTCGTTGATAAGTTGGTTCGTTGGTGAGTTGAATGTTTGTGAAATGAAAGCGTCGATGAGTTAGGTCGTTGATAATTTGTATCTTTGCCGTGCTTGGAGTTGATGAAATGGGTGTGTTGATGAGTTGGGTCGGTAATGAGTTGGGCCGTTGATGAGTTGTATGTTGATGAAATGGATCTGTTGGTTAGATGGGTATTGTTGAAATGGGAGTCGGTGAGTTGTTTGTTAATGATCTCGGGTCAACCCCTTTCAAATCTTCATGAAATGAAATGTTCCATGACACAACTGATTTTAACAAAAATGTCTGATTTAATCATGATCAATATCCAGTCAAATAATTTCAAATCTGATGATAATTTATTTCTCGTCAAATGCGAATATGTAAAAGTTACTAATTCAAGCAATCAATTAACTATTTTTGAAGTCAAATACTCTTCAAAGTAATATAAGTATCTTTCAAAAAATAGCTTGTATAAAAATTATTTCTCATATTGGAATTAGTCCATGTTGAAAATGTAATGACAATCCGGTACAAATAACGCATATCAAATAGCCATGTTTCAAGTCCGCACAAAGTTATTGCGCATGTGCCTCATTTCGCTCGAATTTGCCCTTGCATAAACGCTTTAGTGAACTTACTATTCATTCTACTCTAGTTGGTAGCTGTCCAACCAATCCAATTTCCATTTCCTTCAACGCCAATCTTAGTCCCATTCGATACAGAAAAACCGATGATGAGTTCTCCTCAAGCAAAATCATCCGGAAGTAAAGTACCTCTCCATTCTGATTCAAATGCCTATGTTACATCCGTGACCTGAGTAAGAACAACAACGATATCCATCGACACCTTCGAACGGAAAAGCCAGACATATTGACTCTGACTGAGTCAATTCTTCCGTCTACACGGCCTTTATGCTCCGTCCTGGGTACGAACTCCTCACGCGTTTCAGGTTCAAGGGAGGTGGGGATGTTATTCAAACTCGATAGTAGTGATACCGCCAAAATGGGAGATTCTCTTATCTCGTCTCGTCACGACGAGACGAGAGATGGCTTTTCCTCTTGAATTTTGGAACGAGATGAGAGGTGAGGAAAGTCCATGAGAAATGAGAAGAGACAAGATAACGAGAGAGACTGAAAATATAAATGCTCGTTTGATAGAACCAGGCTGATTATGATTCCTCACTGTCCGCCAAGGAATCCTACAACGTTCTGATACTGATTCCTAATACATCCCCTGTCTCATTAGTTGGAGGACCTCCTGCATCATTTCTTCGGTCCAGTTGGCAAGGATGCCGCGATAAGAAAATTACTTAGCTTAAAAAGGAATTGGGTTTGCCCAGAAAGGTTTCTCAATCTTCTAATGTGCAGCGTCCAAGTGTTTACACATTCTGTGAACGTCTCGGTGTATATCACATACAACTTTTTTCTTTATTTGGGATCCTTTTCAAAAATTTGAAATTTTGCACAGTTTCGGGTAACACCCTGTAGCGATTTTATCTGAACAACCTTCTGATTTGGGGTGCGACGAAATAAGTGTTGCGTAGTTTAGTTGAATCAAACGCCACCAAAACTCAAGCCTGCATTTTCTCTAGATAGGCGGAACTAAGTATGCCTGATATAACAATAATACTGGCCACGTTTATACCGTATGGATATTCGGTATGCATACCAAGGTGATCTAACTGAATTCAGACCAAATTCATCAGTGTATCTTCAGTTGACTAACGTTACCAACTTGGTTCTGATTTGATATTTTTTTAGAGATTCGGTTGTGGAACTCGAATTGATTTCGTGAATTAAGAATAAAACCTTTTTGTAGAAAACTAGATAACTGCTGTCTAGAGTCAAGACAAGTCTGGTAGAAACAAATTTCGGTATCAAATCAAGCTGATAACTTTACCAAGTATAGAGTTTATACCACACTGACCAAGAAAGAGTATTTGGTCAAAATATAGTCATTAGTCAGCTTACCAAGACAATCATGTCCGATCCATCGCGAAAACTGCTTCACAAAAACTCGGATTTTTATTCCGTGCGAATATCAACTTCACACCTCAACAGCTCTCCATGTTCAATAAAGCACAGACATGGCCTGTTCCATAATGCTGTTCTCACATATGAGGTTCAGCACCCAAACATACACTGATGCTCTTAGATTCCATCCAGAGAAGAGCCATTCGCCTGGTGGGTGACGCCACACTCACTCACTCTTTGGCATCATTGGAACACCGCAGAAAGGTCGGCGACCCTCCATTTTTTTATCGATACTTCCACGGGAAATGTTCTTCGGAAATCTCTGCTATGAACCCTCCACTAGCAATACCAGTCCGACGAACTCGGCAGGCCCAGTCAGCACATTCTTTCGTTGTCAACCTTGAAATATATCGAACAACACTTCATCAAAACTCGTTCGTCCATAAAACGGCAAAGCTATGGAATTCTTTGGCAATGGAAGTATTCTCTAGAACTTATAACCTCCGAAGGTTCAAAAAGAATTCCAACACCTACCTCCTCTCCCTATCCCCCCTAGGTACGTTCGATGTTCTACGAACATAATTTTTTTCATCGTTTGCTGCAGACGAAAGGGAATCCCTATGATATTCGGAGAACATCCATCGTGCGTACCTATAGGGAGGATAGGGAAATGAGGTAGATGTTGGGATTTTGTTTGAACTTTCAGATATTGTACTACCTCAGGCAATGAATTCCAGAGCTTTGCCGTTCTATAGAGAAACGGGTTTTGATATCGTGCAGTTCGACATACTTCTAGGTTGACAACGAAAGGCTGTGCTGATGTCAAAGTATTAGTGAGTGTGGCATCACCCACCAGGTGAATGAATCGAAGACATACAATGTACCTTGTTGAAAGATTTCATTCGGAACTATGTGTGATTCGGATAGTTTATTGAATATCTTACTACTCAAGGATTATTTACTATGTGTCCGACCGAATGTTCACTGTGAGTATAGCTCCTTCTCAAATTCATAAGGTGAGCATTTTGAAAACAAGGTTTATTCACCAGATAAATTTGAAAACAAATCTGAGCAAACCACAGTACTACTCTAGCAATTCCAAATGCTTCAGTGGAGAGGAAACTTCTGCAAATCTCTCCTTATTGTGTGTTATGTTTGGATGTTGGTTCCAGTATTCCAGAAGTTCCTGATCCAAGTGGGATTCGAACGATCTGAAAACAGACATATACATCGGCTGGAGTTCATGGATGGTGTTGCTGGGTAAACCTAAAAGCTCAATTCCCAGTGATTCTGCTTTATCAGCGATAGTCACATCCAGATGAGTCGATATGAGTCGATGCTCCATCAAAATTCAAAATCGTGGGAGCAGGAGACATGAAACTGGCAAAATGATCCAACCATTCCAAAAATATCTCAGTTGTTATGCTGCATTTCGGTTTCATGTATACATTCATATTATTGGGAGTATAACGTGACCAAGAGTATTTGCACATTTTCTTCGTGTTCTCATTCAACCAAATGGACTTTTCTAGTCCATTTGGTCAAAATCCGCTGCTGATGATGTAGAATTAGCTTGCAACAATTATTCTCATCCATGTTGTGAACCTTCCTACGATGTTTCAAGGCAGTTCTCTCCAAAGGGTTCTCAAGTTTGCTTAAATAGTCATCAACAATGGAATGATTCAATTTCTGAGCATGGGCTGGATTCAGCTGTTGTGCTCTTCGTTGTGAAATATTTTGATGACGTTTCAAGAATGGCCAGTACCATTATTTGCCTGCTAATCATCAAACTTATTTGGTTCCGAAAGTTTTTTCTCGATGACATGAGATATTCGTTTTGGAATAGAGGCAGAGAACTTTCTTGAACCTGAAGCGTTTGTGGAGTTCGTACGCAGGACCGAGCATACAGTTAATGTTTATGTTTATATTCATGTTCTTACTCAGACCACGGATGTTACATACATCTTGAGGTATTTTACATCCGGAAAATTTTGCTTGAGGAGAAGTCATAATCGCTTCTTCTGTATTGAAGAGAAATGTGGTTGGCGTGGAAGAAAGAGAAAATTGGATTTGGTTGGGTTGACACATTTCACAGCACCTAGAGTCGATGTGGTATCGCACCAGGTTATAGTGTTAGCCATCTTTACCTATTGGTGTCCTTCTAGTCGCCTTCTACGACAGGCAGGACTCACCGTGGAGTTATTATAATCCGACGACCACACGGCGCTCAAATCTCAAGCGTTGACAGCTCTTTCTAATAGAAACTACATTCTCGTAGGAGTGAATATCATTTCGTGCTCGTTTTAACAGTACTCTAATGTTAACCAACTCAATGCACCTATTATTATTTCAAGGTAGTGCCTTATAATGTTACATCAGTTGGGAGAAAACTAGGATTATCTAGTGGTTTGGAAACCGACCTCAAATCTGGACTAATCTACTTCATGACGAGGGATTATGCGATTGTCCGATGGGTGATAGGGTAAGAGAAGAATACAATCCCCACTCATTTCCCAAAATAATATTCCATTAGACATAGAAGCGTTCCATAACTATTTCAGTTTTCTTATTATATTTGAATCAGTCCTAAAGAAATGCTATGCTTTGTAAAGCTATAAAACATATATTCATTGGGGTGTCGATACTCTCCATGTCGGAATGGGGCCAACAGTAGTCGCTTAATACAGCAACGAGTTTGAAATGTGTCAAAGTTGATCTAAAAGCGCCTCATTTTTACCAGGTGTGATATGTCAAACTGTGTAAAACTGTCTCAAATTTCTCGGAGACATGTTCGCCATTCTGGGACGGTTCTTGTGGAATTCGTTCGGAGCTTTGTTTTCATGGTATGCCACAAGGATTCAATCGCGGCATCATCTTCTTGAAAAATACATTGAATATTGTTTGAACGCTCATCAGACATGGCTCGTGCGTCCGGGTTCGGTCTTTCACAAACACTCAGTAAAAAACAAAACGCTTTATTCAATTACAAACATTACAATTTGCAATGTACGATTCAGAATCACAATAACTAGGTCTAATAACACGAAATAAACTTCGAACTGATTTATCAATCTCTCTCGCCCATCACTCTCTCAATAATACTACTCTCGTCGGGCTTCCTGCAGATATTCATACCGAGTCTTCAACAATGATTGAACACCATGTGACCAAAATGGGTTTGCAACCAACACTGCACAGTTGGTGAATGAATAACTGCAAATCAACAGCTGCAATCTAAATAAAACATAGGCGTACCAAACATAGTCAAAGCAGGGTAGTAATTTAACAGAAAATTGAAACAAAGTTGAAACAGAAATAGCACCCTGCTATAACGAGTCTTCTTGTGGCTTCTTGTGAGTTCAAATTGTGGCAGAAAAGTATACCTTTCACAGTTTCATGAAATATTTCACAAACCAAAATGATTTTTCTATCTTTAACTAAAAGCATACCAAGATGGATTCCTACGGTGATTGCAATAACGCAAATGTTGCAACATATTGAAAAATGTTGATGACCAGTTGATGAAATTGACATCCAAGACTTGGGTACCTACTGTAAATCTGCAAAAATATGGTGAACTTGGATCTCCTACCAAGTCTCTTAACAGGCCTATTCGTTTGTACTCTTGCTCTACCTGCTGAACTCGATTATTTTCCATGACTTTCTCTGTTTACATCATGCCATGAACAGGCCTAATGTAATGTATAAAAAATTAAAGAAAATCAAAATAATAGAGTAGGACAAAAGTTCAATTCAAGTACACCTTCTCACATATTATAGATGTATATTACGGAATTCAATAAACACATTCATGTTGAAGTCGAAGTTATAAACAAAATTCATCTCCAAAACAACAAACGCAATGAAAATGCTTTCCATTGAACAAAAGGTTGATTATTGGACTTACCTTCCCACAAAAATGAATTGAAGATGTAGTTTTGATAAAAACTGTTTTTCGCAAATTGGGTAATTGTGAGTGAAATAATCGAATGCAAGGACAATAAAATGAAAGCAAGAACCATATAATATACTATCAACAAACACGGGAGAAAAGACAAAAAGAACTACTTGGTGCTAGGTCTACGCAGCTGTGCAGTATAAATTTCGAAAACTCTAGATTCTAGAATATTGATGATAGATTCTCAATCCAACTCTCCCGTTTTCAATTTCTGTAAACAAGACAAGCTATTGGCTGCTATGAAAATTCACGTGCCAATCAAATTGCGAAGGACATGAACGACAGAAAGTAAACACTGGAAACTATAGTAATGAATGATCTGAGGTGCAAATATGATATATTCACGTGGTGTTCAATCATTGTTGAAGACCCGGTATCTGACCCGAGACATTCTGGCGTATTCATAACGTTTCGAGATCTTTCGCCAGAAATTCGAGCAGCTTCTACGAACGCCCGGTCGCATATAAGCAAAACGTACATCTATTCGGCAAACGGCCTGTATCTACGCTTTCTGATTGGTTGATGCCAAATAACAGTACACATTGCTATACCGGCGCCAAATAGATGTACAATTTGCTGCAGATCTCGCCGCCAAATAGGCAGTGATACCTAAAATAGATGTACACTTTGCCATCTGCATAGAGCTCGCGCTTTTGTTTTTGTTTTTGGTCAATGGTCAGTCATTATCATGCAAGCGGCACGTGCATCCTATCATTGAGTTGAATACCTATAGTTGAGTTTGATTTCAATACCTTATTTCAATATGGAATTACCCCAATCTTTCAAATATGAGACGAATGGAGTTACTAACAATGATAATATAACAGTTTATGGAGATTTACACAATCTAGAAGAATGTGATACATATGTGGATTCGGGAATTTTCTAGGTTAAATCACACGAAATGGATCGTACGTGAAAGTGCGTTCCCAATTTAAAACTTTTTGTGTGTCCGTAAGTATAGCTAAGTAATAATGTTTTATTAATTATTATGTGCTGTGCTATGCTGAAAGTGGGGTGATATTTATGACAGTTTCGATGTAACAGAGGATTTTTTTTTGTTAGATTTCGTTAGGGGTTTGAAGGAGGTAGGGGTGGGTAGAAGCGATAGGAATTGTTCAGCGCGACCACGCGCGACTTTGTATGTATATAGATATTTCACAAGTGGAAGCTTTCGTGACTGTTTGATTGAACAATAAGTATTCATGGGAATATTCGTGTGAATTTTGGGGTCGAAAATTGAAGCAATTGAGAACCTTTTTTTCGATATTACGTTGCCCAATGAGATTTTTGTTCTTGGTCACGTGATATCAGATTCAAAATTTTTAATGGGACAACCTGTATATTTTGGCATTTTCACATTTCTCCTGATAGAACGATTTCAACAAACGATTACAATTGTAGTCTCTATTTATGACGATCAATTTGAGAACTACCAGGTACGTCAATATCCTTTGTCCCAAAGTTTTTTGACTACGCTCTTCAATAAAATATGAATGATTAATATAATTTTGCATCGTTTTAATCATCACAATGAATATAGGATTGCCCACATGAACATTGACACCCTAAACTCAAATAATTTGGCAACTGCTCGTTTCAGACGTTTGTAGTAATCGCCGTGGGACAAAAGATATTGAAGTACCTGGCATAGTTCTTGAATTAATCGTTTTAGGCTACAAGTGTGATAGATTGTTGGAATTGTTTTATCGAGAGGAACATAGTAATTCCAAAATAAACAGGTTGTCCCATTAATAATTTTGAATCTGATGTCACGTGACCGAAAACGTAAAGCTCATTGGGTAATATAATATTCAACCCCAAAATTACAATCTTCTACTACTCTTGAGTTTCGAGATATTCCCTGTCTTAATTGTCGTGGGACACCCTGTACATTTATGTTTTTAGAACGCACTATCGATGTGTGAATGTGATGAGTATTTTCGATTTTGTATTATCATTATTATAATAAATTTTTGATATCCCATGCAGTTATTGCAGTTTCAATTTAATGCCATAACGTACAAGGCGCTGACGCGACTCCAACAATATGTACTGTTATCTGGCATATTTTCAATTCACGCGCAAAACGTACATGACTCTGACTCCACAATGGCAGAACGTACTGTTATTTGGCATCAACCAATCAGAAAGCGTAGACACAGGCCGTTTGCCAAATAGATGTACGTTTTGCTTATATGCCGCCCGGTCGAAGTGGCCTTTTCCGGGATGAGCACGTCTATTCGGAAGAATGTATCATCATCGAGATCTACAGTGTGTCCCACTTACCATGCTCACCATGGATATCTTTTTAACGGTGAGAGGTACGAGATCGGTTGAATGACACCAAATGTGGAGTTTGTCCAGGCCAACTATAATGTGAAAAAATATTTTGATAAAATCTATTCATTTTTGTGTTATACGCAAAAAACAGATTCTGATAATTTTCATGTCTCCTCCTTACTTCTTTATTTATGAAAATATCCAAATAGGAATTTCACATTCTCATAGGAGTTTTTCAAAGTGATTTCGAAAAAAATATGAAATTTATACCAACTCTTCTAGAATTTGAGATATCAGCAACAACTTCAGGTAATCAAATGTAGGTCATAGCTCACTATGACTTAGTTACAAATAACATTTTTTTCTCTTACAGATGATATGTCACAGTAATAGTTTTGTGTTGATAACAACGGAGGTATCGTCATTTATACAAAAAAAAATTGTTTGGAAGCCGCCACCTTGAATTCATAAATTTTAATATTAATATCATGATCTCCGACCTCGAAAACCCCCACTTACCAATTTTGAATGGAATCGGGCCAAATCTTGTCCGCCATCTTGGAGCAGCCATTTTTATTTGATCTCAACAAAAATTCCATAATGTATTGTCACCGAAATCATGAGCACCTATCAAATTTCAAGTTGATCGGAGTTATGGAATTTTTGTTGAAACTAAAAAAAATGGCTGCTCCAAGATGACGGACAAGATTTGGTCCGATTCCATTCAAAATTGGTAAGTGGGGGTTTATGAGGTCGGAAATCATGATTTTTTTGTTAAAATTAATAAATTCAAGATGGCGGTTTTCAAATAATTTTTTTTGTATAAATGACGATAACTCCGTTGTTATCAACACAAAACTATTACTGCGACATATCATCTGTGAGAGAAAAAAAAGTTATTTGTAACTAAGTCATAGTGAGCTATGACCTACATTTGAAAAACTGAATGTGGTGATGATATCTCAAATTCTAGAAGGGTTGGCATGAATTTCATATTTTTTTTTCGAAATCACCTTGAAAAACTGCCATGAGAATGTGAAATTCCTATTTGAATATTTTCATAAATGAAGAAGTTACGGAGGAGACATGAAAATGATCAAAATCTGTTTCTTGCGTATAAAACAAAAACGAATAGATTTTATCAAAATATTTTTTCACATTATAGCTGGCCTTGACAAACTCCACATTTGGTGTCATTCAACCGACCTCGTATCTCTCACCGTTAAAAAGAGACCCATGGTGAGCATGGTAACTGGGACACACTGTATTTGAAGATATCGTCATCAAAAGTGATGATTCAATCCTATTTCAGTGGCCAATTTCAACAAGGTGGAGCACTACCCCATTTCGTAGTACCAGCTTTACAGATAAGAGAAGTGCTATACCAATGAATAGGTTGTAGAATATCAATTGAATGGCCAATTCGCTAGTCTTTCTGATTGTTATGTAAAAAAATTTTAGAATCTTGTACATTAGCTAATTCACATCAAAAAAATGTATATTTGATCGAGGCTTGAACTGAAATATTCAAATATCGCTTTGTTCGAATTCCAAAAACGTTTCACTACTCATGCCAGAATCTGATTACTTTCAAAAATTCGATGTATGCAAACGCCCTCATTCAATATCAAAATTATTAAGCGGGTTGCTCTCTGAGGAGTTGGGGGTCGAAGTACGTGAAGTAGATAGGTATGTGATATACGTGAATTCTTCGGACTATTCCACTCATCACATAATATGACCAATCACAAGCCAGAAACAACTTGTGTTATCGCGAAAACACTGTCTTTCAATTCTGATTGGTCTATCAGCGTTGGTGTTTTCAACTATGTATAACCATGTATAGCGAAGCAAAGTCGGTGAGTTCAGCATAAAATAATTATATCTGTAGTTATAAGAATGAATCGCTGATTTATAATTAATGCTTTTAATACTTCGTGAAATAGTCTAGCAAAATACCACTCTGTTCTGATTATGTTCTCAAAATTCTGTCTTTTATTGTTAACAGAATTGTGTATCCACCACACCTGAAGGACTCGTGGTTTTGCTCGGAATCACGATTTTGTGAACAATGAAGCGACAGTATTATCTCGAATATTCAGAACATCTTGATATTACTTATGAAAATTCCACACCAAACATTTTCGATCAATTTAGAGCCTGTATTTCGTATCGTTACCATAGCAACTGAACAAATTTCTTGGAACTTTTTCCCCCCTCCTTGGGGGACGGAGCATGAAATTACACTGGAAATTTTTTGACGTTTATAGGTTAAATGACATTTACATTCAACTTCAGATTATTTCGAGTTCATTCTATAAGTCGATGAATAAAAATCATTTATCAACAGTTTACCATATAATATTATGAAGGTATACCTACAAATTTACAAAAATACATGTTGTTACTACACGTTAGTTCTTACATTTCATCACAAACAACCATCAACATGTAAATTTTCTTTCCGAGTACCACTTTAGCTTCAATTATTTCCGGAAGTTTTTTCGAGAACACGAATATTTTGAAAATTCTCACGAGTCGAAGACGAAGACGAAAATATTCGTGTTAAGTAAAAATTCCACACCTTTAATTTCGTCAAACTGATTGCCTGTACCGTTACCGTAGCAACTAAACGAATTTCCAGAAATGTTTTGCTCTTCCTTGGGTATATAAGAAGCATAAAATTACACAGCTTTTAACTTTAACGGTTAAACGACATTTATATTGAACTTCAGATTATGTTGAATGCATGCCATAAGTTGATAAGTTGTTCCTTGTGAGAAAATATATTTCTATTAACTTCAGCTGAATGGATTTGTAAAAAACACAGGGATTGAGCTACTATCGACTTCTTCTTCATTATTTCATTCAACTAAGGTCGTTTAATTATATATCATTCAATATAATGATATTACGTGAGCGAAGTTCATTGACTCTAAACAGTACTTCAAGTTTCTTGGGAGAATAATAGTATATTACACACCGAGGTGGGAAGTGATTCATTCCTGTCGTGAGTTAGTTAACCGAGACGCAAACTTCCTACCGAGGTTTGTATACTATTTTATTCACAACCATCATATTTAGATCAAAATTAATAAATCTATGTTTCGGTCTGAACATACCTGAATCATTACATAAGTGAGGGCGGAAAGTAGAGGTGTGTAATGTGACACTTCCCAACCTGCAATGACGTCAGTAATGACAACATTACATATATGGTTGTAAATAAAATATATTTCTAGCTACTTTAGTATATCTTTTATTATTTGTTATAAATAAAGTGAATTAATTATGTTTATCTACTCCTATTAAATTATATATCAATGATTCAACTGCCTTCGAACAATTAATAGTATCTGTAAACAAACAGCGTGAGTTATCATAACTCTCGCTACTATAACTCACTATAATACTTACATCGGGAAAGGCTCTAGGAATTATTTACGAACCGAAAATCAAGATGGCTCAGTACTTCTGTACAAGCCAGTTGGCCGAAAGGGAACAATCCATTATTGTTATTGAGGGGAGTGATGTCAATTGAATAATTTTGACGTTTTCAAATCAAGTTGATACAATTATTGTGATTTTTTTGATGAATTCAGATAGTGAAGATGGATTATCATTTAAATTTCAAAATGGAAAATATCACTCACGAAGAATTAGCATTGATACATTTGGAGCAATGGGGAAAGACATTGCCACATTTCTGAAATTACCAGACTGTAATTTATATTATACAGGGCATTGTTTTCGCCGCTCGTTGGCAACTTTATTAGTAGATGCTGGAGGGGATATAACGGCACTGAAACGCGATGGCGGTTGGCGATCAGCTACTGTGGCTGAGGGGTACGTTGATGATTCCGAAAAGAATAAGACAGATACTGCAAATAAAATATACAGTTCTATAACAGCTCAACCAGTTAGTACATCAACAACATATATGCAACAAACACAAAAAGAAACAATAAGCTTCCATAATTCAGTTCCACATATTCAGTTTACTGGTTGTTCAAACTTCACAGTTAATTTTTCAATAAACAAAATGAGTGATTGAATCTCAAATTTGTATTAAGAATATTGAGATTTGTCAATAAAGTTTTTTCTCTGTACTCGTAACTTAGTATTTATTGTAATAGTCGTAGATAAAGTATAGTACTCAACTTGCGGTAATGGTCATAACTCACTTGATGAATTACAGCACTCGCCTGCGGCTCGTGATGCAAACTTCATCTGCGTGAGTTATGACCTACATTACCGCTCGTTGAATAATATACTATTATTCACAACCATATATGTGATGTGGTCATTACTGACGTAATTGGTTGGGAAGTGTCATATTACACACCTCTACTTCCCGCCTTGACTTCCCGCCCTCACTTATTTAATATTTTGATCAAAATATGATGGTTGTAAATGAAATAGTATACAAACACGCTTTGCGTCTCGGTTAACTAACTAATCTCGTGACAGGAATGAATCTCTGCTCACCTCGGTGTGTGTGTAAATATACTATTCATTTGGCCTAACAATGTAATAGATGTTACTTATATTGATAACACCTAGGACTGCTTCGAGTTCCTTTGAACAAAATATATTTCCACCAACTTCAGTGGAATGAAGTTGATCAAGAATAATGGTTTGAACTACCACCAGCTGCCTTATCATTATTTTGCGTAACTAAACTCGGTAATTTGTCTTTCATTGGGCGTAATCTCATCGTAGCATTCATTCCATAATAATTCGGTATAAAAATGTCATACCGGAACACTCTAGCTTCAATTGTAAACAGAGGATTTTTTCTCATACGCGAATATTTAGTAAATTCAATTTTAAATTTCCTAAATATTCGTGTTCTGGAAGAAATTTTCGGTTATAATTGAACTAATTGAAGTTCTAGTGGTATTATAAGTGAAAATAGTTTTTTATGAATTACTCATTCAGGGTGGCAAATTTGAAGTGGACCACCCGGTACCTACCTATGGATTCAATACATCTTTTTTACAGTTCTCCTTTGGAAGCCGAATTTCACAATGTATTGATGCAATCCTATGATAAGCTACCATACGTATCACAGTTATTCACAGACCCTCAGAAAAGCATTTGGGCTTTAGTGAATAAGGATAATCCTGAGGAATGTTCGACCAGATCTACTTCAAATGAATCAGAAAGCGCTTTGGGAAGCAGAGTTGTCCGAATATTAAGATACAGCAAATTCAGGAATGAAATAGAACGTGAAGAATGATATTCAATAAAAAAATAATTCGTGCACATGTTTATATTTCATCCCTTTCATGAATGTAGTGTTAACGTATTACTTTCTACTTGTCACCTTCCACCACTAACCAAAACAACACCAAAGTCTAGGTTTATAGGTATATAACTATGGATTCAATACATCTTTTTTACAGTTCTCCTTTGGAAGCCGAATTTCACAATGTATTGATGCAATCCTATGATAAGCTACCATACGTATCACAGTTATTCACAGACCCTCAGAAAAGCATTTGGGCTTTAGTGAATAAGGATAATCCTGAGGAATGTTCGACCAGATCTACTTCAAATGAATCAGAAAGCGCTTTGGGAAGCAGAGTTGTCCGAATATTAAGATACAGCAAATTCAGGAATGAAATAGAACGTGAAGAATGATATTCAACAAAAAAATAATTCGTGCACATGTTTATATTTCATCCCTTTCATGAATGTAGTGTTAACGTATTACTTTCTACTTGTCACCTTCCACCACTAACCAAAACAACACCAAAGTCTAGGTTTATAGGTATATAACTTGGAAAAACTTGGTTTATAGAGATAACTTCCCTATATGTAATATCTACAGGGTGAGTCAAAAATATGTACCGAGTCTTCTGGAGGTGATAGTACATCGAAAAATAAGTATAGTTTGATGAATAAACTAAAGACCCAAAATGTATATTATATAAGGGGAATTTCTCCTTCCAAACTTGATCAAATAAACATAACGTCTAAAGCGGTAAATTGTAGACAACTTTCATCCTCGTATTCTTTTTGGTGAAAGAATAGAAGCATTTGATAGAGCGAAAAGAATTACATGAGAACGGTACTCTTATCGGAAAACAAAAATTGTAACTGTTTTCGAGATACCTATTTGAGTTTTTGTAGTGACATGATATCAACAGATCAATACATTAACACTAATATTTCAGGAGGCTTAGAACTTTTTGGCTAGACACCATCCTCATTTCTCATTGTGAAACATTTCTTTTTACGCAATCTTTGTACAATACCCAGAATTGTTCGAGAATTTGGAACGCGTCGAGCGGGAAACGAATAATCAGTAATTTCGTTAACATCTCAGTTGAAAATCGAAGAAATAATATCACTATGCAAAAAAAACGGGACAAGAAAATTAACAATAACAATGCCTATGTCATGAATGTCAATATCAAGAACAAAATTGATCATGGCCTCCTAAAATATTGTTACCGATGAATTAATCTGCTGATATCTAGTGACTACAAAAACTCAAATATCTTGCAAACGGTTAAAATGTTTGTATTTCGATAGGAGTACCTACCATTTTCATGTAATTTTTTCTGGTCTATCAAATGCTTCAATTTTTTTCCAAAAAAAAATACGAGGAGAAAAGTTTACTTCAAAAAATCATGACCCACTCACTAAAATCACCCTTTATAGAAGTGTATCAAAAAATGCATTTTATCAACAGACCTTTATGCAAGAAATCTCAATTTCATGACTTTCACCGTTTCGAAGTTATGCGGGAAAATTATTTCAATATTATTTACTTTGGAAGGATATATCGCCCTCAATATACATTTTGGGATATTAGTTCATTCATCAAACTATACTCATTTTTTAATGTACAATCACCTCCAGAAAGCTCGGTACACATTTTTGACTCACCATGTATGCAGTGTACTATCTCTCGCTCTCTTTCTCTTTCCGTAAACAGAACAAATGTGAAACTTTTTTTTGAAATCTCATCTTCGAACATTATAGATATTTTCTTTTGTGCGCTCCAAGAGATAAAGAAAATCCAATTGATTTCCATGGCTTAACAGCCCAGTCGACGAACCGAATTTCTTTCAAATGGGTTGGGGAGGATAATAGCACCACAGTTGAGAGAATGTGTATGTAATATTCTCTCAACTGTGATAGCACCCAGCTAGTTTTCATTGCATTAAAATACAGGGTGAGTCAGTTTTTTCAGCACGACTTCAACAGCTTGAAGAAAATTTTATTCCAAAATGTCAAATAGAGTGCGCTCAAAAAATTAAATTCAATTGAAAGTAAGGAAGTATTCCCAAGTTCAAAAAAAACTCCCATACCTACCTCCTGTCCCTATCCTCCCTAGGAACGCATAATGTTCTTTGAAAATTATAGGGATTTCCTTTCGTGCGCTCCAAGCAATAAAAAAATTATATATGTTATTTGTATTTGGCATTCATCTTGAAATCCATGCAGTTTTCGAAGGACATACATCAGTAGGTAGCAGAAAGTCAAATAGAAGAGCCAATGCCGAGGCAGCACGTAAAGAAGTTCTAGATGGCTTAATTCGGTACTCAAACTACCAAAAATGTCCTGTAGGTGAACAAAACGATTGATAGCTATCGAAATATTGATTTTCTGAAGTATGTAGTATAAAAGTCAGTCACATAATATATTATGTTCACAGTTCACTAGTGATTCACACGAGACCAACGAGACGAGAATTTCATAAAGTCTCGTCTCGTCTCGCCGATGAAATATGAAGTCTTGTCTCGAGTCGCGTCTCGCAGCCAGGAGTCTCGTCTTGTCTCGCGTCTCGTACGAAAGTCTCGCAAATGTATCGCAATTTCGTCATGCATAATCTTGTTCTAGTTCACAAATGTATTTGTTTTTCACCCAGTCGTTAAGACATAATGTTATTCTCCATCTTGGACTATTTAGCACAGAATTACTTATTTTTAGATTTTCAGGTAGTCAACCAATTTGCGATCTGTCGTTATTGCAGAATAGCCTTTATATTCCGCCGCCGCAAGAGAGAGAATAGTCCGTTTTCCTTTCACGCATTACGTCATTTTACAACAATCATGAATTGTGTTTTTAAAGTGTTTATGAATGAAATGTTTTTTCTATCTGTGCTAAATAGTCTGAATTAATTCTAAATATGTTGTATTATGAGAGACGAGACACGAGAAGTCTTGCACGAGACTCGAGACGAGACCAATAAAAGTCTCGTCTCGTCTTGTCCGAGTCTCGTCTCGAGTCTTGTCTCGAAAACGAGAGGAGACCATGCGAGACTCTCGAAAACGAGACTCTCGCGGGCAGTCGGGCACCACTAGTTCACAAAAACAATTCATCTTGAAGATATGTGTTCCTGAAACTGACTCACCTTGTAAAGTGGAACCATTTAATGTAAATAAAAATAAATATGTATCAAACTCTCAAATCAGCTTCCAGGAGAACCAGACAATGCGAATTTCTACTTCGCTAAACGCTCCGCCTCGCAAAAAAATGAATGTTCAGTGTTTCTATACCTCCAATGAAACCTTATGTAGGAAAAAACAGAATGTTTTTTCCAAAAATCAACTTTTTTCGATATAACTGAAAAGCTATAAATAATTTTGAAAATTTCCGAAGGCTGACCCTCTAAACATGTCAAATTTTTCACATTTAAACGAAATCGTATCTTCTACAGTCCCGAGGTCCCCTTGCTGTGTAACCTTATCTTGGTCAAACTGTATACACAAATATACACATTCATCAAGTCACGCACCTTCCGCTTCCTAATGGTACAAATGTCAAGTTCAACATTTAAAAATATTTACAATTATTACTGTCGGTGAATATACGTTGAATATTAATAATTACTAATATACAGTGCTTTGGTGAAGTATTGAATAAACTCATTTTCAGTAAAACTATCCAACATTTCTGAAGAATCTCCTGTAACAGGAAGATTCTAATTCAATCAATAATCAATTGGCGACATTCCTAAAAGAGAATGAAATATACAAGCTGATCACACATTGAATTCGTATACAGTGCGTACGATAAATTCAGTGTTATCGTAAAATAGGGTTGCCATTAAAAAAATATAACGATGATAGTTTCTGATACACGAATCAATCTGTATATATCGATACTGAATTTGAAATACTGCATGAATGAAAATAAAATTCGACGGCTTCGAGCGTTCCTTGCAAATGATATTCCTTTGATTTTCAACGAATTTATTTCACACTACTTCATTAGAGAACTTAATTTACCGGACTGACCCATGGACTGACCATATACAAACCCTATGTGTGATATATATATGAATTCGGCTTTACTTGAAGATTCCAAAGATTGAATAATATACAGGTTGTTTCAAATTCGACCCTCACCATTGAGAGCTCAGAAACTATGAGAGATACGAAGATTAATTGGGGCTGAGTTGCGCATTTACCTCACTAACAATATGCCTTGAAAAGGAATATTCTAATCAGATAAATTATAAACATGAAAAAATTGATATATATGTGATAAATACATTGAGAATTCGCATTCTCTATGTGATGAAGATATCAATTTTGTCTCGGTTTATTCAACAGAAAACAACTAATTTCCTTGCTATATGCCACGACGAACATTGAATTATATTATCTATTGATCACACACGATAAGGATTTGAAAACAAAATCTTCTGAAGATGAGAATTCACATTTTCCTTCATAAAGAAATAATATATATGTACATTATATCATTTTGAATATTGAACAGAAAAGAACTACTTTCTTTGTCACATCGAACAATATACCGGGTGGCTACGGAAGTATATTGCCTACGGAATATCTCAGTTATTGTATGAAGTAGGTTTAGGAAATTTGAAGCGTCGTTATAATGACATAAGAGCTAGAATTTGAGCATATTGACATGTCGAAGTTAACTTCCGGTCTGCCCGGAAGTAACATCAACTTTCTTATTTTAAATGGAAACCCTTTTTTTTTTTCGCTTTATTCAGCATTCAATTTCCTTTCTAATGACATATCACAAGTTGGTATCTAACCAGAAACTAGATCAGAAAAAAATTATTATTGAAATTCACCGAGTAGGCCGTGGAAGCAAAATGAAAGCCAAAAATTGAAATGTTGGCTATGGAAACCATACGTCACTTGATAACAGTTGCTACTACTGTGATATTTCATTTTCATTCGTCGGCGTTATAAAAAGCCGCCAAAAAAAATATTGGAAAAATTGGAAAAAAAAAACAATACTCTGTAGGTCCATAACTTAAATAGGAA